CCATACTGATTTCCATAACAGTTGCACCAGTCTACACTCCCACCAGCAGTGGAGAAGGGTTCCTTTTTCCCCACAGCCTCTCCAACATTTGTTGTTGGGTTATTTCTTTATGATAGCCATTCTTTCTGGGGTGAGATGATATCTCAATGTAGTTTTAATTTGCATGAAATACCTGATTTAGAAAGCAGAGTCTTGGAACACATTGAGAATTCAGACACAAACAAAGTGCCAATGTACAACCTGCAGGCCTACGTGGAACACCTCAAGGGCCACAACGACAAAGCTCTACAGAGCCTGTAAGATGCTGAAGGCCTGATCCAGAAAAGACACGCTGACCAGCCAGACACAAAAAGCCTGGTGACCTGGGGCAACTATGCCTGGGTGTGTTACCACCTGGGCAAGTTGGCAGATGCCAGGATGTACCTGGACAAGGTAGAGAGCACTTGCAAGAAGCTGGCGAGTCCCTTCTGCTTTTAGATGGCATGCCCTGAGGTGGACTGTGAGGAAGGATGGGCCTTGCTGAAGTGTGGAGGACAGAATTACAAGCGGGCTGAGGCCTGCTTTGAAAAGGCCCTGAAAGCAGAGCCCGAAAACCCTGAATTTAATGCTGGGTATGCTATTGTCGCCTATCGCCAAGATTGTGACAGCAGTGTAGTCTCCCTAGAACCCCTGAGGAAGGCCTTGAGACTAAATCCTGAAGATGGATATCTCAAGGTTCTCCTTGCCCTGAAGCTTCAGGATAAGGAAAGGAAGCTGAGGGAGAAAAGTACATTGAAGAAGCCCTGAGCTGCAAGGCTTTCCAGGCCAATGTCTTTCCATATGCAGCCAAGTTTTACAGAAAAAAAGGTTGTGTGGACGAGGCTCTTCGACTCTACACGCTGGCCTTGCAGGCATCACCCAACTCTGCCTACCTGAATCACCAGGTTGGACTTTGCCACAAGGCAAAGATGTTCCGAATGAAGGGGACAAGAACCAGGGAGGAGAGAGAAATTATTGACAAATTGGCTCAATTAGCTATAGGTGAGTTTCAAACAACTATAACCGACAGGCCCACATTTGAGATGGCTTATATTAATCTGGCTGAAGTGTATGCAAATATAGGTCAGTATAGAGAAGCAGAAGAAAACTTTCAGAGAGTGTTCCGCATGCAGAATGTTGTAGATCACCTCCAGCAAGAGCTGCATTTCCGCTACGGTCGTTTCCAAGAATGGCACATGGAATCTGAGGAAAAGGCCATCACCCATTATTTAAAAGGTCTCGAAATAGAAGGAATGTCCTTTGCCCGGGATAAACTGCTAAATGCTCTGGAGAAATTGGCTAACAGACGAGTTCAACAAAAAGTTTGCATTGTGGAAAGTCTTGGCCTTCTTGAGCAGGTCCACAAATTGAAAGGGGACGTGAGTGAGGCCCTGCTATGACACGAGAAGGCTCTGAGGCTCACCAAAGAGCTGAATCCTATGCTTTGAAGGACAGCTCACCAGTGCCAGTGTCACATGTTCCTTATTGAATATAACAACAATAGCTTGCAGTTCCTGCTTCCAAAAATGTGCGATGCAGTGAGCACAAAGCAGCTGAGCGCTGCACACCCTCTCCTGCCTGCACCCTTCTTTGCTTTCCATTATGCGTAGTGTGGCGGGGCACCCCCTTTGCACCCCTGCTCTTGGTGGCCATGGAGGGGGCATGCTGCCTCGCACGCCTGTGGGCATCTAGACTGAGCACATCACGTGCCTTGAAGATCTAGGTTTGCACAGCTCTCTCCCTCAGTCTGTTGGGATACAGCGCAGAGGACACTTCCAAAGCAAAGCTGTCTTTTTATGAATCCAAAAGCTTTGATTGCAGAAAGATTTAAGGATGTAAAATAAAAGAGGGAAGGTATGAGTTGAAAGAAGGAAAGTTATTCAAGAGCTCCCTGCAGCATTCTAGCCCGGAAATCAAAGTCCCCAGTAACTTTGGTGGCAAAGATCTTGTCACAGGCCTGGGCTAGAACCTTATAATGAAGGCGATTTTACTTACGGGATTCCTGCCATTGCTGTCGCAAGGATCTAGATAGCCGAAGTGCAATGCTGGCCATTTATTTACAGCAAGTATGATTTTTTTTAAGAGAATACAAAATAGTTTTTTTTAAGTAGCATACCTCCAAAACATGACAAATAAAATAGAACTTCATCAAATAAATCAAGAGGAACTCAGCAGTGGTTGCTGTATTGCATGATGTTGTCTTCAAATTAGTTGTTCAGATTACCAGATATAAGCATGTGAAATTAGGGGGAAAAGTTATAAGAAATTTAAAAGGACGAGAAAAACGAGAGAGAAACTTAAACACTGATTTACATTGATGTATGAGTGCATGATGGCATCAATTCCAGTGCTGCTGATTTCTGCAGGTCTACAGAGGGGAGCGATCAAGGCTGGAGCATGATATATTACTTTCGAAGGGGGAGAATCCTGTTTGAATATGCAAGCTGAACCTGACCCAAGTAGTTTTGTGTCATTTTCAGTTGAATATTGTGTAGTAGAGTAATATTTTTTTTCTTAACACCCAAATACTTGCTCAGTTAAATGTAGTGATACCAAAATTATTCTGAGTCTATTTGAATGATATTTAAAGGGCATGTGTATTCCTTTGAGGCAGAAGATTATGCCAAGGAGACTAGAAAAAAGGGCATGATGGTGACGGAGAACTGTCAAGCCACAGCACAGAACAGGTTCACTGTCCTGGATCTAATACCAGAAGGGGATATAAAAGACAGTGGCATTGCGTTCATAGGCACTGCGGTCCTCCTACTCTTAGGGGCACGCATCCTCTATGTTGGGTGCATTTTTATTCTTAGTCATTCCACTCTTCACTTTCTCTTTCCTTTTTTTCTTTCTTCTTTTCCTTTAAATAAAAACATATATTCAAGTTCACTGATTGTCCCATTGGTTCTTTGAACAGAACAGCAAGACCTTGAGGCAGTGGATGCCACACCATCCCCCCAATGCTATATTGTTTCGATGTCGGAATATATACAACCAACATACTGTGGGTAGCCCTAGGAAACCTGGAGCAAAATACAGAGTGCCCTTTCTAGTCCTCATCCTTGTTGCTGCCCAGGAAGTTTGTATTTGCAATCCCATGGGAAATTTATTCACCTTTTAGTGAGTTAACTCCAATCTACCCCTTCCAGCACAACCCATAGTGGAAATAAAAACATTCAGGCATATTTGTTATGATGGGGACCTAAGAGGCCTACTTCCAGCCTTGATGATGGCTTCTGGAACAAAGGCTTCTTTCTATCCACGGTCAAACCTCGGTTCTTTTCACTGGTGACGAAAGGAGTGGCCTGGGTATGTGAACGCGAGGATGGTGGGAAGCAGGACAGTGCTGTGAGCTGGGCTGGGCAGCAGGCCTAGAAGCACCTAAAATCTCTGCAATATGCAGAGAGAAGGGTATGCAGGAAGAGGCAGCTGCACAGCACAACTGAGATAGTGTCTAATGTCTTGGGCATGGTGCTTCAGCTCTGAGGTGCGATGTTTTGTGCCCTGGAAGCCACAACCTCTTGAGGCTCGATTCCAGCAGACAGGCATGGAGCAGGGCTCTCCACCTCGCCTCGGCCTGGTTCCTGCATGTTTCATTTGGGAACTTTAAGGGGCTGGGTAGAACACTGCCCTGGTGTCTTTGCTTCAAGGACTATAAGTCAGCATCTTGGCTGGACCAGTTTGCATTGCTTAAAGCCAATTGCAGGAACAAGGAAAAGTCCTTGCCAGCTCAGCACACACTACATCAACACATGGAAATAGGGCCAGGCTAGGCCAAACGAAGACAGTGGCTCTCCTTCAGGGAGAGTTGTCTGAGGTGGGCCTCTGCAGCAAAGAGAGATGCGCAATTATACATAACACAAAGTCTTAGAAAAGCAGGAGTATAGGGAGAGGCATTTACTTCTGTGTATCATAGAATTAGAAGCTTGACTTATGTCACCTTGACCCCATGGAGGGGGGAACTGGCCTGGCTGAGCCACTCCTGTGACATATGGGGGAAATATACGGGACAATCATTTCACCTTTGTTGATGGGAAATCAGGAAGCCTTCATTACATTCAGACGCAAGGTTGTAGCAATCCGTGCATATTCACCTTTCTGGGTAGTTAGGTGTAACTCAGCTCACCGGAACTCCTGGAAATCTTGCCACAGCACAAGCACTTGTGGGGGAGATTTGCCTTGAGTCGTACAGTGTATGTAATTGAGAAATCCGGGGAGCCATCTATATAATTCTTGGGGAGCACACACACTGCAGTTTGAGTTGTCCCCTTTACCAGTCTGAGTGTAGCACAGCTCTGATTGTTGCTAAACTAAGAGCTGCTATTCCCCACCACTGGCTGATCTTGGCAGCAGAAAGAAAGAGGAATTTACCAGCTTCTTGGCCAAGTTCCCCACAATGTAGTAAAGGCTTCCAGCTAGTCACTACCCTGCCAATATGACAGGTTTGGTTACACAAAATTCCCTCCTTACTTAATATTGAAACATTTACATCACACTAGGTAGTAGAAGAAAGACATGCTTTGCTACAAACTGACTGTGAATATGTAAGGGAATATTAAGGAAAGCCCTAAAATGAAGTATTTTAAGTAACATCATCTCTTTGATACCTAGGAGTGCACACAGCATAATGGGTTGATGAGCGGACCAACTTATCAGAGGCCCCAACACGAACCATGTAGAGCCAGGGAAAAGCAGAAATAACAGAGGGCCTAGAAGAATGTGAGACTATCCACATCCATTCAGATAAAAAGTGTAGGCCCGGGGAGATGGCTCAGTAGGATAAGCGCTTGCCTGGTGAGCACAGGGTCCTGAGTTCAATCCCCAGTACCACAAAATAAATAAACAAATAAATAAGGAAGAATAAATTAAGTTACATATGTTTCATTGTGTGAAAGGAAATGGAAACAATACTAGGGACAACAGTAAAACCAAGATTTATGCATACCTTATGTGGGAACCATGTCAATACCTTGTCAAATACATATTTCTGTTTTACAATTAACCTTAGAAATGCAAATTAGAACAAGAACCTTTTTATGGAAATAAGGCATTATGGGGAACAACAGCAAATCATGACCGGTATTATTGCTGCTGCCATTTGCTCACTGATTGTCAAGGAATGGCTCTCGATAGTTTCCTCGGGGCTATTTCTTACCAATAGACACAAAACTGCCTTTTAGTAAATGTTACCAGACATTACATTGGAAAAAGATATAATGCTTTAAACCTGTATACATTGTCCTTTGAAAATATTTGTTTAGGTAAGTAGAAAATTGTCATTCTAGTTTTTATTCTTTCTTTTTTGTGTATTTTATGACCAGGTCTACAGGGTGTTCAGGGTCTCACTACTAGATCAGATTCATAGTGATCCACCTGTTTACAGCCTCCCAAGAGCTGGGATTATAGGCATGCGCCACCACTCCCAGTCTCCATTGCTGTCTCAGTGCACCCTGAGGTGGGGAGAGGCCAGCACAGCAGGCCTGGAGATTGAAGCCCCAGCCCCTATGCCTGTTTGTAGGTGCTTTAATCTGCTGAGCCATTAGGCTGGCCTTTTAGTTTTTATTCTTTATATTTTTATTAGTACTTGTTTTTAGTATATAAGCTGACCAACCATGCGTGATGAGTTTTTTCAGTTATTTATATTGATTGCCTTTTATGAAAAAATGATGGGTAGAAATGAGTCAGTGAATATGTATATAATAAACATAATAATAAAAATTGTACAAACTAGGAATCTAAAAAGAACTGATGGGTTATATGTGTGCACCATCTCCCCATGGTGAATGTAATCATTATGTACTGCAAACACATATTAATAAAAATAATTATTAAATAAAATACTGGTTTTTCAATAGGCCACCCATCACTAGGTGCTGTCCTACGCGACCTACAGCAGGCCAGTAACCCCTTTGAGACTAGTAGCCCCTAGTGATGGCCTTGGGTAAAACAGAGGCACCATCCACTTTGTGCTGCTCGTGGGTGTGTTCACTTTAAAGAGGTTTGGAGCATCAGCGTCACTAACTGCAAGACAGGAGCAGGGTACCACAGAACAAGACCAACGCAATTCAGAGCAATGACAAGAAAAACTGTGCACAGTATGTAGCGCTTTAGGAAACAGAGAAACCTGTTGTTTTGTATCTTTCATGTTTCTTGAGATTTTTATGAAACTTGATTCCCAAATAGGAGATTTCCTCATTTATTTATATTCAAGTTTTAGTTGAAGCCAGAACAGCTTTCTTAAAAAGAAAAGAAAAGAAAAAAAAAACTATTCCATTACTTCTTTCTTAAAGACACAGTAGGTAAAGTTTTTTTGTTTGTTTGTTTTTTTGTTTTTGGTTTTTTTTTTTTTTGGCAGAACCGGGAAATGAACTCAGGCCCTTACACTTGCTATGGAAGTGCTTATTCTACTGAGCCATCTCCCTGGCCCCAGTGGGTAGCTATTTGAAAGGCAGAATTATTATTAATCTGATGACTGAGGACAATAATGATAATATTTGTAATAATCACCTTTACTGACATACTGATGTGGTCTAGTTTGTTTCTATGTAATCTCACATCCACTAACTGCTGTTGAGTTTG